GGGGAATCTTGGAGGGGAAGAAGGCAGGAGGTGTTTTGCATTCCTTTGCTGGGTTAAGAAAGGGAGGGGGGATTCTTTGTTTTAACTTTCCATTTCTTCGCTAGCCTCTGTCCTTTTTTCTGCGCAGCTGCGAACTTTTATCAAAATATGTCAAGGTCACTGACAGTAGCATCATCACCTGGAGATGACCACATGATCCTATTCAGAAGTTTTAATTGGAAGAATCATTTGATCTTTGGAGGGGGGGAGCAATTCTATCCCTTTGTATATGCATTTTACCCGCCAATATTTCAGTTTCGGAATTGATTCTGTTGCTACCATTCAATTTCCAGTAAAAGAATAATTCTGCTCTACACCATGGAGTCTGAGTATTTCTTTCTTGGGATTTAGAAGGAGCACAGTCTGACATTTGCACTGTATATTCACCTATACTAATTAGAATCTTAAATTTGAGCAAATTCTGATTATAACCCAATTCTGTATCTGAGTGGAAAACAAAATCTGGAGTGGTTTCATTGTTATAATTAGGAATGTGTAAACTTCTTTCAATTTAGGAATGCAGCATTCTCTTCCCCTTCCAAATCAAGACATTCTTAGGGTAGAAAGGCTTTAAATTGACCCTAACATTTAATTATTTCATTTATATATCTAAAATAATATCTTACTTAAAATTTATATTTTTAAAGAGATCAAAATGGAATACATTAGAAAAGGAAGTGAAGAAAAAAAAAATTCTAGTACCAAATATAAAAGATTAGGTGAATCATTTCTAATCAGGCCTGTTGTGTTTTATGAGTTGCTCTGAGACACGGAAATGATATTTTAATCTCTTAAAACTCCTTGATACAGAAACCCTATATTAATGTGGTTTTTCTTAAATGAAAGGAAACCTAGATGGCTAATTCATAGAAAATAAACATTTTTTTAAATCTGAGAAATGGTCACTTTTAGATTCTCACTACGTTAAAAACTGAGTTCAAAGTCATGAAGTATCATGAAGCATTCATGAAATTATAAATCTGCTTACAAGGTAAATTTAATCAGAGTTTGCCTCCTAACTTACTGGTGCTAATGAAAAGACAATACGTTTTCTTTCAAGTTTCATGCAAATAGCACCATTTGAAAAATTATTTTGAGCTGCCAATGTACTCTTGGAATGAGAATTTCTAGTGTTTCTGTCATAAGTAATAACTAGATTTAAAGATCAGCTATTCCTTGAAACAGCAGTCCCAAACTTTCTGGCTTGGCAGATCAATGGAGGTGGAGGGGGATAGTTCCATGTGAGCAGCAGGTGTACATACGAGTGTGCGCAATTCCATTTGCACTTGTGAGGATGAGCTTAATGTGCACAACTGCATTTGAACTTGTGAGGGTGAGCTTCATGTACAAGAACGAGTGTCCATCATTCATGCAAATGGAGCTTTGTGCATTGCCCAGTTCAAACAGGCCATGGCCCGGTAGTGGACAGTAGCCTGGGGGCTGGATATCCCTTATCTAAAAGACAACAGCATTAAAAGGATAACATCATTTTTCCTTTTTTAAAAAGCCCTGTGGCTCAATTTTCTGTAAGCTCTCTAACTTTTTTATATTGATAGTCTGCTGATGCTTCTTAATTGGCTGAAATTATAGCAGAACCCTAGAGCTAACAGGTTGCACATGCACACAGAAAAGTTCAACGTCAAAGACTAGACTTCTTCATATCTTCAGGAAATATATATGTGCGTGTATACACATCCAAAACTGCTTGCAAGGTAAACTGCAGTACGCTGTTCATGCAATCTGCCCAATTGTTTGTGGACTTTCATATAGCAAAGTTCAGAGAAAAGCAATTTTCAAGGCAGACTTTTGTCTGACCATATGTTTAAATGTTCTTTCAACACTTCCTTGCCCCATTCATCCTGGCTAAAACTGATAGCAACAGGGACTTGACTTATCTCTGCTGTACTGTTTAGAAAAGTTTGAAAAAAGCAACCAAATCAGAAGTCATAAAATAGTTGCCTAACTGTAGGAGTCAGAATGGGACTGTGTTTTGTTTTTCATACACAGCACACTCAGAGCAGTAATTAAGAGGGCAGGTTCCAAAGGCATAACATTTTATACCTCAATATTCTTCACTGATCAATCTTTTGCTGCCCTAGCTCCTTATTTCAGATATCTTTAAAAAAAGGGACCATCTATTGTACCTATAGAAACTCAACCAGCTGATTAATTCAAAAGAATGTGAAAGCTGGAAATTCTTTGCCATGTGCATAGATTTCTTTGCAAATGAAATGAGGGAATAAGTATATAACAATGAAAAATCAGTTAACTTTCAGTCAACTGAGATAAGTCTTTATATACCACTTACTTAATATGACATAAGTGGTACAATATATTTTGTGATATAATATACTTAGGGGGAAGTTAGGGGGAAAAGCAAAACACTAAAATTCATGAAGCATTATTTTCATATATATTGGATGAGAAAAAAAATCCCTGAGAATCATTTTTACCATATATATTTTAAAAGGGTTGCATAAGAAGTTAAATAGAGAAACATTTTTTGTTATTTGATGCTCTTAGAATAGCCCTTTATAAAGGTCAACCCCACATTATAAAGCTTATTCTGTTTCCCACTTTTGTCTTGGCTTTCACATCACCTATTTAATCTGGATTCTTTGATAGGACATTCAATTCTATTTCTTTGCCTCTCAGATATAACTCAATAAATAATATCCTAAAACCACAATACTCTACATTTTGAAGGTAGAATAGATGAATATCAGATGTAAAGTAATGTTGACACTATCTTCACTCTTCAAATGTTGTATTTTAAATTTCTCACAAATCCAAGATCTGTAAATGGAACAAAATTTATTTCCCTAAATACCATTTCCCTGAAAATAAAACTATCTGGAAATAATCCCTAGAGTTTTTTCCGTGTGCGCCTAATATAAGCGCTGCAGCCAAAATAAGCCCTACTTAAGAGCCTGATCAGCCAGACGGCCGGCTATTTTGTCTGGTTGCTCACGGTGCCGCAGCCATGAGGCAAGGCAAGATGGGAGAGTGTTGCTACCCACATGCCCAATTAGTAACCTGTTTTCCATGTACACAAATGCCTCAATAATAAGAGCACTAGAGCCTTAAAAGCAAAGCACAGTTTGGTATTCAACATTCCATTACTTCATGTGTAACTTAAACTAATCAGCCAACTTATAGTCAGTAAGGAGCAGGCTGAGCTCTGTTATTACTGTCCAATAGTACATATTTTCTTGGTAAGAGATATTTACTGATGCATATTACAGAAAGATTAGCAGAATGGCTTATTTTCATATTTAACAAGCAATTTATATAGATAGCCCTCAACGTATGACAGCAATTGAGCCCAAAATGTCTGTTCCTAGTGAGACAGTTTGCTTTATTTTACTATCTTTTTTTGCCACAGTTGTTAAGTGAATCACTATAGTTGTTAAATTAGTAACATGGTTGTTAAGTGAATTTGACTTTCCCATTGACTGCTTGTCAGAAGGTTTCAAAAGATGATAACATGCATGACAACTGGGACACTGCAACTGTCATAAATGTGAGTCAATTGCCAAGTATATGAATTTTGATTTGTAACCATGGAGATGCTGCAACAGTTATGTAAAAAACAGTCATAAGTCACTTTTCAGGGCTGTTATAACTTTGAACAGTCACTAAACTAACTTATAAGTCAACAACTATCTGCATTCTATTGTTTTTTGAACCATTCATTTCCCTTCCTAAAAGCTTTCCAACGGCCTTCTTAAATTCAGTGATTATTAGATGGGTTGGGACTTCAAAATGAGGATTATATTTTCATGTATCTAACATTCATCAGGTGGCAATCTGTAGGAACTCTTCTCAAGCAATTCTACTTTTAAAATTTTGTGTGGAATTTCTCTAAAAGATACTCATTCAGTTCAGATATATCATTCTTTGGAGGACATTCACATGACAAATCAAACCCTAATAGGTAGTTAGAAAGTGAAGAAATCTTGCAAAGGACCTCTGCTCTGTTATTAATCACGTGCAACCAAATATTTCACCTGTGATAGAATCAAAAGTGGAATGCCATTAACATTAAAAAAGAACTATTGGAATCAGCACACAATCTTCCCTTTCCAAAGAACTCCATTCTATCATATTTTAAATATTGTAAAATTTATATTGTCCAAATAAATAAGAACAAAAGATGTAGATTTATTTTGCGGTGTCCTGAAAAATAGGTATATACAGTGATTGAATGTGCTGCATGTTTAAATGAACTGAGGAATTAATTCTGATTTACTAAATTGAATAGCCAGATTTGATTAGCATAGGCATGTTCTTCAGGATTTCTGTATTTTAGTTTCATTTATTTTGAGAGATTTAGACTAAAGAAATCAGAAAAGTTGGTGTGCTTACATAAGTTCAAGTTTTAAATGTCAGCCATACAACTTGCTTAGGTGCTAGTAGAATGTTTCTGATGAGGAACACCTTGTGCTGCCCTGTGTTCTTCCCTGGTTTTCAAATATTCAGCCTTGCATTCTTCATAAAATGCTGGATCACGATAGCTAAAAACATAGGCAAAATATGTGCATTAATTTATCCACTCAATTACATGGAAAAGTTATAGAGCAAGAAGGAATAGTGCTGGGAACCCTCTTAACACCAACTATTTAAAGCAGGGGAATCAAACTCGATTTCATTGAGGGCCACATCAAGGTTGTGTTTGATCTCGGAGGGCCAGGGGTTTGTATGGCCAGGGATGGGTGTAGTCATAATGGGCTTGGGCACGGTGGGCGTTTGACACACATTCAAGGTGCATTTTTTCTCCTTCTTTCCACAGTTCTTTGCTATAAACATTTTCTTATCTCTTTTACCAGATATTACTGGCAAACATATTACTTATTCTTCATAATCCACTAAACCTTTTATTTCTAAATTTATACCCCTTGTTTAATAATAAATTGCTTTTTCAGGCAAAAAAGCTATTTATAATATTGTATTTTTATTATTCAATTAATTAAAAAAATACAATAGCATAAATAACATAATTGTCCTAGCAAGACCTAACAGCAGAAGTAAATTTCTAGAATAGTAAATAGAAATGGCTGTCAATTATAGATTGCTGATTAAATGGATCTACAGTATGTAAAATCTGGCATTATTAACATAGGATGTTACTTGTTTTCTATCCAGATCAGGCACTTAAGACCACGTAACTGTAATCCAGTCCAATCCAGTCCTCCTCCATCACTCTACTAGCCAAAAATGGGTCATGCAGAGGCCCTGCATAGCCTGTTTTCAGCCATTAGAGTACTGCTGGAGGCTGCAAACAGGCCACACAGGAACCTCATGGTGCTTCCGCATGGCCCGTTTTCAGCTGGCAGAGTGCTGCTGAAGGCTGTGGAGGCCAAAGAACGGGCTGGGCGGGGGCTTATGGTGCCTCTGTACGGCCAGTGTACCCCTCACACCAATGTCCTATGGAAGGCTTTATTTGCAAGTGTTCTTTGCACGCACAAACATTTTCCCTGGGTCTGGAAGCCAAGTAGTTGTGCACAAACACAAATGGGAAAATTCAAAGTAGCTAATATATGTTGAACCTTTTGGAGAATGTGGATGTCACAATAAAGCATGGAAGGGAACAATGTTAGGCCTTGTGAAATGTTTTGCAAAGCCCTACTATGGAAAAATCATAGGCATGAGTGAACAATTTTGAGAGAGGAATCTATGTCTTAATGGTTATAGCTATCACAGCATCTCCACAGTAACTTGATTGTGATTAGAGTGCTGGGCAACTGATTCACAATTATGATAGTTGCATTATCCTGTAGACACATGATAGCCATTTGTGACTTTCATTGCTGATAAAATCAATGGGGAAGCTGGCAGGCGTTTGCAAATAGTCATGTAACAATTGCAATTGGAAGGGCCACAATTGCTGTCCTAAGTTTTTGCAGTCATATGATGTTGTGCTTTACATTCGTAAGTTAACCCTTAGTTGTTGGTCCTAATTACCACAATTAAGCATTTGTATTCTATTCAAGATGGAATTCTCAATTATTTAACAATATATTAGCCTGTAACCAATTTCTGGTAAACAGTATAAGTTTCAAATTACAGAACCTGGTACATTTAATTAAATTTACATTTTGTCTTAGAACAAAAAAGGAAAAGACCTAATACCTGACTTAATCCTCCATAGTAGTACAGAACATTTCAGATCCCTTCACGAAACTGAATTTCCATATTGACAATCTTAATGCAATTTTAAAAAACGTTTAAACAGTTTAACTTTGGTGTGTGTTTTTTAATGGAAGAATCCCTGTCCAATACTTGCCTCCCCCCCAAGACAAAATCTTATTTATGTAAACATTTTTTCATTTTTCCTTACAACACAGGGTTTTTTTAAGTTATCTGTTTGATTTTGTTTAACATTCCCTTAATGCTCAGTCAAGTCAAATCATTTTAAAAATAGAGACACCACACATAATTATCTTTCATATATCATAAACTTTCTGAATAAATCTAACAATTCTACAGCTTTCAAATATATGCAATAAATAAATCATTTTGGTCTTAGGAGAATGAAGCTGCCATTTGTTTCCCTAATGTGTTAGGCAGACAACTCCCATTATCATAGACCACCATAATCCAATTAGCTGGAGATGCTGAGTTGGAGTTTAACTTGACTGGACAATGGCTGTGATACAGATATTCCTCCTCAAAATATCCATCATGAAGAGTTGTATTCTTTTATGAAGAATCTGCTACACTGATGGCAACAAAAAGAACAAATGGGGGGAAATGATAAGGAACAAATAAATAAAAAACAGTGCTAGTTATCTCGTGTTCTGATATAGATTTTCCCAACTTAAAGCCTTCTTAGGTTTGTCAGCTAGCCAATACAATGTTAATATCGAAGAATTAAAGCAACATCTGTATCATACCATTTAAAAAAACCACAACCCAGCAATGGATGCTCTGAAGGGTGGAGATTTCCCATTCAGTGCCTTTATACTTACTAGCCAGTGAGACATTCTTTCAGCAGTTTGTTTTCCTTTTGGCATTTTATCACCATAAGAAAACCTGTGTCTTTGCAACATTTGGTAAAGTCTGAAAAAAAACAAAGAGATGCAAAGTGGTTATGCTTCAGCAAAGGAACAGGTTAATATATCCTCATAAGAATGATCCTTATTTTTGTGATTGGTGCTTAAATTATTCATTCACAATAGAAGTTCCTCCTACTTATTATTACATTATAATATAATATCATACATTAAAGAATGTGCGATAACATGGGCTAAGAATTTTTGTTTTACTATATAGATGAATCAGTGGAAAATGTTATTAACAGATTGAAATTTACATTGTTATATTAAAATGAATTTTTATAAAATGGTGCATCATTGGTATATGACGTCAAGAGAAATTATCCAGAAGGTATAAAGGCATTTCAAATGTATGCTCAAAATATGAACAATGTCCATCATGTCTGGTGCACGGTAAAAAAGCTTTAAAAATGGATTCAATTATATGTATTGATAGATAGTTTTAAATAAATAATTAATTGAATCTAGAACATTTCTTTTAGGATTAATGGGTAAACAGAAAAGAGTCTTATAAGATTATTTCAATTTATGATTACTGTGATGAGATTACTATATGCACTAAGTTGGAAATATTTGATATTACTGATTATAGAGGAATGCTTGGTGAAATTGACAGAATTTGCTATATGGACAAATTGACTTCTTTGATTAGAGAAAGATCATTACTGGCATTCATCACTGATTGGAAACTCTGTATGGGCCTTTTGTGTGAGAAAGATAAGGATTTTGTGATTTACAGTTTTAATGATTAGAAAATAAGTTATACAAAGAATAGAGTTATGATGTAATTATGAAAGTGGTTTGACTAGAGTTATATGCATATCTGCTGATATTGGAAGCAATTTCTTTATATATTTCATGCTTTCTGTCTTTTTGCTTTTGTTTTACTTTTTCCATTTTTTTTCTTTTTCACATTCATCCTGTTTATTTTATATGACTAGCACATTTTGTAAATGACTGTAAACTGCCTAGAATCGCCTTTATAAGATGTATGGCATAGAATTTTAATAAATAAATAAATGAATTTTTTTACTTTCTTTGAATGTATTTGATAAATAAAATTCATCAATAAAAATTATTAGAAAAAAATATTCATTCAGAATATTTTTCTGAATGAAAATTTGGTGAATTTTGGTTTCTGAAAAGTTTAACTAAAAATGTTACTCATTTTTAAAAAGCAATATAGTAAGATTTCATATTTATATTGAATCTCTTTAATGCTGAGATTAGAGGCAAACAAGGTATAATTGAAAGGTTCTGCTAATTTCTGCCAGTAAAAAACTAAGTATGCTAATTTTTTTTAACTAAGCCAGAGTTCAGAGTCCTCCAATGCAACCCTATTTTATCGGAATTATCCCTGCCCATTGACATCATGTCATGATACATAGTTGTATCCTGTTCTGGCACTAAGTACTAAAGTTACTTACATGGAAGGAAAGAAAGAAAAGAGGAGTGAATCATAGCTATGAAACAACTGTAAGCCCTGTTTTTATGGTACTTTAGTGGTTACAGTTAAAGAAACTATAGGGGTAAAAAAAAACTTCTAATATTGGCACTATTAGCATCCTTCATCTACAATCAGTAGCAAACATGGACTTCCTTTATCCTATCACTCACCAGTATCTGAAATCTGCCAATTTTCTCTCTGGCAGGTCATATAAACAGTAGGAAATATACAATTCAATTATTCACATAGCAGATTTGATCCAATCCAACTTTCTGCAATCTGCTTCTCCCACTACTGATGGTAGGCATATTATCTCTGAACCTGAAAATAATATAGGCTCAGTTCATATTTCACACTGGTCATAAACATATTTTCTTTTACTAAATAGAAAGCATAAAGTTGGTATTTATGGTTTAGCATTATCTATGAATTTATCTATGGTTTGTGCTGGCTTAGAGTGGGAGCTGATTCTTGCTTTTATCAATTAAAGGCCCTGCCCCAGGTGGGAAATCCACGGCCACTGGCAGTGCCGCCATCCTCTCTTTCCCTCCCCTCTTCCCTTCTTGGGTGTGAAGGGTGGGAGGAAGGGAAGAAGGAAGTAGACAGGAATGAGAGGGGGAGGCAGGGAAGAAAGGTGAGGGGGAGGGAGGGAGGAGATGGAAATGAGAAGGAGGAAAGCAGGGAAGGAAGGGGGAGTGGGGAGGAGGAAGGAAGGAAGAAAAAAAAGGAATGAGAAGGAGGGAGGCAGGAAGGGAGGAGGGGGAGAGGGAGGGAGGGAGATTGAAATAAGAGGGAGGGTCTGAGGGAAGTCCTGCCTTAGCACTTGGCCATCAGCAGCCCTGCTGCACTTTTGCCATCCCTTTGCCCCCTCCTCCTGGCCTCTCCTGGCGGTCTCCCATCCTATTGCTAAGGATGCTTTGCTTACAAAGCCGGGTTTCCTTACATGGAGTGGTCCTCCCTCTGACCCCATGCACTTTGCCCTCCCACACCTACCATGAGCAATCTGGCCAAGGAGAGAAAGCAGTCTTGAGGAGTAGCAGCCTTGAGGTGATAAGCGTGTTCGGGCATCTCCTTGGGGATGAGGGGCTGGATCCCCAATTCCAGCCTTGCCTAGGCCCCAACAGGAGGCAGAGGACCATGCCGCTGTGTGTGGAAACACAGAGGAGAAAGTTTGCAGTAAGTAATTTCCTCCAAGTCCAACTTCTGCCTTGAACTTCTGGAAAGGAGGAGGGAGTGGGAGGGAGCTGTGTGTGGGAAGGCTGCCCTTAACAGCCAACATCCTTACCACACACAATTAGAAACGGGGATTCCCTTTTGAGAAAGTCAGTCTCCCTCGTGCAAGACCAGGAGCACTGCTCTCCTGCCTTCTCTAGCTCTCCAGAGATCTATCAAGGCAAAGTTGGGCTCAGAGGAAACTGCTTCCTGCAGACTTTCTCGTCTGCGCTTCCACACGCAGCAACATTGTCATCCACCTCCTGCTTTGCTGGGAGGAGGCACCGGACAGGGAACACCAACGATGTTTGGGAATGGGAGAAGAATGTCTCCTTTGTCATGCTGTGCACAAGCATACATGTGCACACACAAACACACCATTCTAAGCTTGGAGACTTTTATCCACATCTGAGCTTGCAACTGCCAATCAAGCTTGAGCTTGGGGAGAAGGCCCTCTCTCCTTCCTCTGTGGATAAAAGTGCCCAAACTTGGAATGCTGTGTATGTGTGTTTGTGCACACGCATGTGCTTGGCTGCCAGCAGTTTGGGGAGTTGAGGAACTTGTGTTGCACGAAATTGTCCACACATCGAGTTAGCCAGTACAGCTTGTTCTGTCCTGACCTAGTCATCCTGAGTCAGCCACGCTCAATGAGCAACATCAAGCTGACCACACCCACACAGCCATGCTCACCTGGCCGCTGTGAATCGTCAGTCTTATATGCAACTGGCCGCCCTCTATGAAATTAAGTTTGACATCCCTGGATTAGAAGAAGGAAGATTAAACTTCTAATATAAAAGCAGTTTTATACATCTGCTTTTCAAACAAGGATCTTTGCCCTGTAAGATCTGTATTGTAGCATAAATGTTTACAACAACTTCTTAGTGAAGCATGCACAAGCACACAAGCATTAAAACAAAATTATTTCAAGTATTTTTTTGCATCAGTTAATTTCATTGACCAAGCTCTACTAAAAGGATACTTAAATAATAAAAATATTAATGTTAATAATATAAATATTAATTTCAGTAATGAAATTATGGAATTTCCCACAGACCTACTTGTCTCCTAGTCAATTAAAATATTATTTATCCAAGAATATAAATCTGCCTATGCATGTTTTATTTCATTAAAAAGAACCAACTTTTCATTTATCAATAAAAGACTTAATGTAAAAACAGAATTACTATGGAAAAATACAAATCACAAACCAAATATAAGTAAACTTTAGAGTTTTCTTGTGCTATCTTCCACTGAAAAGCACAAGAGCAAATAAATTCTTTACAAGAACTCCTGATAGCATATTAGCAACTTAGACAGTATTTAATCCTTACACTGTTTTCAAATTTGCTGAATTAAGCACCTTATCTTAGCCATCTTGGAGGAAAGGATAATGACTTACTTATCTACTCACCCCTTCCATTCCTTACTGAACAGATCTTAAATATTTTCAGCTCTTTGATATCAGGTGAATATTATAACATTTTATTTGTAATAAATAGAAATTTCCAAATGTTGTTGAAATTTAGTGGGATTAAAGTCTTTTAAAATATCAATCATATTGGTATTTCACCCCATTTTGCCAACAACAATAACCACAAACAGCTGCAGGTATTTTAATGCTTTCCTATAATTGCTTATCATAATTTTTTTTTAAAGTCTCAAAGTGCCCAAATCATGAATCCAGGCTAAATTATATTCTGTTCAATTTCCAATTTGAGTCAAAGTGGAATTCATTTGCACAGGCCCAGAAAATAACTCCTAGTAGGGGAAGTATTTCATTTCCTCATTTAATGATGCAATCTGATCTGCAATGTTAGCCCTTCCTGGCCTGCTGCCTCAAGCTTTTGTAAGCTTGTTTCGCAACAGGGTTGTAATTAGGATTTTCTTATCATACTATGTAACAAATTAACACAGTTCATACTTGACTTTCTTTTCAATATTATCAAACTATTTATGAAATTGTATTCCTTTCTAACAAATTCAAGAGTGAAAACTTTCTCTTTCATACTGCTTTCAACAAATCACACCCTGTGTGATAACATTGTTAGCCTTTGCATAGTATTCTGTATTGCTGTTTCTGATGCCCAGAATCATGTAGTCTATTTGTTCTGCAGTCAGAAAGCCAGTGAAACTTCACACTGTGCAGTAAATACAACATATATTCTGTCACACATATAAATACTCTTTGACGGAAATTCTGAAAATGAATGGCTCTCATATAGCAGACACATCAGCACTCCTATTATGCAGACGTGTGCAAAAAGTGTTTCATCACACATCAGATTACATTCTTCTTTTAGTCTTAAATTTTTTAAAGAGGAAATTGCACATCCAATCTCCTATGA